CATCCGGCGCGACAGTAATGATATAGTAGTGAGAGCCGATGAATTATCAGGACAGGAATATGTATGAAAGTACAAGCGTAGAGGGCCACATATTCTACATGTCGTGCCACTTGCCGTATCGCGACGGCGCTTAGGAGAACTACATCCCATATCTGAATTGGAGAAAGCGGGGTTAGCGTGGCACACGAGCGGGCAAAAGCAGAAGCGAAGTAGGATGGAAAACTCGCATACGGCCCGATACTCTTGCGGATGTGCAAGTCACCTATCTTCAAACGAAGCCATTCTGCCCGTGTTTCTGTGCCATCTCAACTAGAAATAGCGAAAAATAGAAAGAGAGGAAAAGAAAAATGAGTCGCAGAACTGAAGGCGAAGTCCCGCCCGGAGAAATTTGCGCGGCCTTGGGAATTCCATCGCAATGATGATCGATATGAATCCTTGGCCTTGTTATTCTTGGTTGAATGGGTATTAGACGGGTATAGCAGAGAGAAGAAAAAGAAATTTTCAGCCTCAACACATCCGGACGTGGGGATTCGAACCCCGGTCTACCAGTAGCATCAAAAGCTGGAAGGAGTGACGAAGGCTGGCAGTGTGACACCAAAACATTTGATTATTTATCTTGTCCACCGCGTCGTGAAGAAGGAAGGGACGAGCAAGGAGGAGCATGGAAGAGACAACTGGACCACGGCAGCCCATGCCCTATGTAGGCGCAGGTTCTGTCAGCCGGCCTCGGGTGCCATGTTGGAACGGCCCAGGATAGGTTGATTGAGATTGGATTAGGGGATTAGGCTCGAATCCAGCCTGTCGTATCGAAAGTAAACTGTCCATAGACAGGCTTGCCTCCCTCCATAGACAGACCAGTCACTGGTCTAAGATTGGATTCATGAGCGCGCGCGTGCTGCCCGACAAATTCGCGATTTGGTTGAGCAATAACATTTGGCAGCACAACAATCAAAGGTCAAAATCACTAGGGATAGTCATGGGAGAAGGCGTGTAGGACGCAGGGAAATTATCGACGCCCTAATGAAAGAAGACCATAAATTGGTCGGTGGGCACATTCGCAGGGAATTCGGGAGGAGCCGGGTGAAGGACAAAGTCTAAGCGCTCATCGCTTGCTGGAGGGTCGCACGCAAGGGGATAATTTTTCGTGAATTTTGGAACATAGGCCGTTTTTTTATTTTTCAGCCCGCTCGCCCAACCAACCAACCACGTGACGTCCAAATATGGTAACAATGCACGTGCAATGTTGTAATACGCTTGCCCACGGGGCTCTAACGGTGTAAACAGACATTATTGGGGGTGAAATGGATCCTAACATGGTGTTCTCAGATGTGGGAAGGGTCTTGGATCTTTCCAGGCTGTAGAACTAATACAAGAGTGGCGGCTCAGATGAATATATTTATCCCACCCGTTTGACCTACTTGCCGCTCCGACGACGCTTGCCAGCAAAGCAACCACTCCCAATAGATATGCAGGCTTCACAGACCCAACTATCTGGGACGCTGCCTTGTTCCAAGCACCCGAGATGATACTACACAGTGTTAATGTGAATATAACAGGGATTGCACTATCTGACGCACCCATTTCGTTTCGCACCCCTGATTTTTGCATCGCGCGACGTTGGGATGATCCGCATCGTCCGAAGGAGCTGCAGACCTCCCACAGAGGCAGGCCTCGAGAGCTGCTGAAAGATCAGGTAAAAATTCCTCCCGCTCCTTACGTTTGCGAGTCGAACGTCTAGTAGTAGATGGCAGTGCTGAATTGACCGTACTTCCAATTGCTGAGGCTAATGAAGGAGTGGGAGCCGGCGGGAATTGAGAGGCGGGGTGGACGGTCGTTTCCATGTCCGTATTGAATTCTTCGTTGTTGTCCTCCTGCGCGTTCTATACGAATTAAGAAAAAGAATAATATGCGGTGGTCCCGACAAACTCACCTGATTTCCTTCAGCCTGGGTTTCCATTAGAATGTAGCTCATAGAATAGTATTCTGAACATGTATTAACTCGTAAGCATCCTCCAGACCGGTTTCTGACCCCCCCAAAAAACGGTACCCAAAAAAAAAAAATTGGGCCTGGCGGCCCAACCAACCAACCAGCCCCCGGTCCGGTATTCGCGGTCCGGCATCCCCTTGGTCGCACGAGAAAGGAGCGTGGCGAACAAAGATGCGGAGACGAATGTCGGAAGAAGCCACGGGAAACGATGTCGACCATAGCAACAGTGACGATGTGGGCTGAAATAACTTTGCGCGTCGGAGTCTTGAAAAGGGCGCTTTGGCTTTGAACAGAGCGTCAGTCCAGGTTCTCGCAGTCGATACACATAGAGCACGCTCTGCTTCTGCGCGAGGACCACAATGAATCGGCTGGGAAACCGAGAGAAGGGAGTAGAATCATGAGTAGCTTGAGTACTCCAGAACGAAAGACAGCGGCTGGGTTGGGACGATGCATCAGTTACAGTGGCGGGTGGGCATCAGCGTTGTTGAGAAGAGGCGGCTACTCCGATCAACGGATCAGCATCGACGGATCAGCATCTGATGGCGTCGCTCCCTTCCTCCTTCCTGCCACCATCGTCTTTCGGCAGGTGCGCACGCCATATTTGGGCTTTTTCAGGCAACCAAGATCGCCCAGAGTAGCATGGCTCCAGTCAGTCCCAGCAACGAGCTAGAATCCTTGTCGAAGGAGGCCTTCTGTCATCAATGTCAAGTCACCAGACGTGTCGGCGAATTAAAGCTCTGCAGTCGTTGTCAGTGAGTTCGACTTCATTCTATATTTCTTTCCCTCTCCCGACTCTCTGTATAACCCTGATATTACCTAGGATCGCAAAATACTGTTCTCGAGCATGTCAAATAGCGCATTGGAAGACCCATAAGGCGTACTGCAGATCCCCAGAGGAAAGCAACTTACAGACGGATGACGACGCATGGAAGAGTGTGTTCGAGGAATATGGGCATAAGAAAACCGGCGGACTTGAGCCAGTTGCCGAGACGCTGGTGCAGCAGTCCGCTCGTTTGCGGGCTTGGACGGATAAGTGGAGGCCTACGATACTCAATTGGTGTGTGCATGATCCAATTATTGGTAGCCTTGATGTTTGTTGAGAGCTTGTTTCTTGCATAGGGCTCTCTGGGCGATGCACATTCCGTCTTCTTCGACTAGAGAAGATAAGTTAACCAAGTTCACGTATGTCACCTCACATACGAGCTGTGCAATCCGAGACTAATTGGGTTGATGGGGATTTTAGGTTCATATTCGAGCTTCAACGACGCCCGAACCCACTCACACCAGAACATTACTTCGAAGTACGATCTCGCTCATATCTTTTTTCCCCCCAATTGATCGCGCCACTTATCTTTGCACTTAGATGCACGGCGCAGAAATCATGCACACATCCGAAGTAATCCTCCTTCTAAACCACATGAAACGAACCGATATACTAGAAGAGTGGCAAAAAATCCCTCGCCGGAAGGATACTATCCAAATAATGATCCTTTGGAAAGCGCATATCATTTACCTCGAGCGACCCGTGTCCAACTTCAACGATCTCCGGAAGAAGGCTCGAGACGATCCTACGCTCCTTGGCTACGACGCGCTAGCCAAGAACTGGGTTGAAGAATTGAGGAAGGCTATTGATTCTGCTGATCGTGAGTGCTCAGCTTTTGCTAAAATACCCAGTACTGAAATCACTCAGCCGACTACCACCAGAAATTTTACAATCTGGTCTGGGGCCAGGCTGCAGCGGAAGCCAGCTTCACAAGTGGATTGAATGCGATGCGCAGCGCAATGGAAGAGATCAGGGTCCGAGAAGATCAACCCTCCAAGTCCGAAATGAGGAAGTAGAAAATCGTGCCCAAATTGTGCCCTGGGCGTTGCCGCGCGATTGAGTAATAGTCTTCCAGATAATCTTACTTTTTCGTTTTCTGGGGTCTGATATTGGAAAATTAGAAGTAATATTCCACTTCTACACCGTAACTCTCCATGTCCAGAGAACAGCGCCCGACGATGGTATGCACGCAGCGCAACGGTCCCTCTAACCCTGCCAGGTCTGCTTCATGACGGAACCCTGGTGCTCTCAACGGAGAACTCGCTATTTCGCGTCCATGGCGGGCTCCTGGCAAAAGATATGTTACCTCAACCAAAGAATGGAGAAACCATCGTTGAGCTCGTGAAATGCTATCCTCGCGATGCGCCTCAGAGAGAAGTACAAAAAAATCAGTCAGTCCCATTTCATTTCCTTTCTTGGACTCGACTTACTGCTGACATACAAATGAGCACTTCACTTGAACGAATGATCAAATTCGAACGCGCCGGACGAGCAGTTGTGGAGAGTCTACGGGGCGCGATGCATGACGTATTATGAATCCAAGCGACGAGCGCGGCGATTGAAGCACTACGATGTGAGTAAGGTAAATCGTTACAAGTGCTTCCTAGCTTCTTACTGACCGGAATAACACTACACCGGAATTGACGGTGCCCGAGGCACCCGGATGGCAAAACTGGTGTTTCACAACTGTCCCTCCACGCAGCTTATATTCGATTATGAAGGCAGCATGTTAAGTCTTTCTGGTGTATAACCAGAATAGGTCGATCCGCAAGCAGCCAGACACCGCCGTACGCGCTGAAAATTGTCATACAAATATTTTTCGCCCTCGCAAGCCAGGTCGACGGAACTCGGAACCGCATTGTGGACAACGGAACGCACTCTTTCATGTGGGGAGATCTGGTGCGCGGGCGGTAGGGCGCTATTTCTATATGATTCCCCTCGCAGCCTGCTCAATATATTCTGATGGAATCGGGAGGCCCGGAGCAAAAAAGATATTTGGCACACATCTTAAGAATGCGGACGCGGGGAGTCGAACCCCGTCTGACTGCTTTAACTGTAACCGAACCCATCGCCAAGTTAATGCAGTCGTGCGCCGTGCACCACGTTCGCTTCTCTCTTCTATTCTGCACTTGAGTATATACCGGTGGGTTGAAGCCTCGAGTAAAAACCAATGGTTGAAGGGCAGCAGAATGCGGACGCGGGGAGTCGAACCCCGTCAAACTGCGTTCAATTATCTCGGTCAGCCTGAACAGAATGCAGTGATGCACCGTGCACTACGTCCGCTTCTTGCCTCTATCCCAGTCCCACTCTCATGCAAGGCACTTCCCGTCCACCCGCTAGACCGGGGGATGTGTGCGACAAGGAGCCGCAGAAGCGTACCGCAGAACCAGGGCGAAAATGCGGCCCACGTCTCGAGAACCAGAGTAGCGTGCGGAAATTTACCCAGAGAAATCAACATCGCCGTCCCCGCGCCTCGCAACTGTGTCACGCGTTGTCGGCTCGTATCCGAGCCTGCGAGCCTCGTCTGAACGCGGAGCCGGAAGTCCTTCACTCAGAAGCAAAGGAAGGCCATTTGCGTTCTGCTTCGAAGATTCGGCGGGGAAATGATATTGGACTTCGATACTTTCAACTGGCCTGGCAGATTTTAGGCCAGTCCACGCACCTTATACTACGTCCCCCTGGACCGAGCTCAAGGCAGGCGAGCCAACCAAATATTATCGTATTACTACCTGTATGCTTTCCCGAATCGTATCGTACAGCTCTGCGTATCGTACACCTCCCCATTTGCGTACTACCTCCCCAACACCCCTAGATATCGTACAAATCCAGATATCATACAAATCGAAAAAACGAGCGAACAGACGCGAAAACGGCATCATCGCAGCAGAAACGACCGAACGAAAGGACCTCAGCCCGCAGCAGGAGCTAGGAGCGCCGCGGCCACCCGTTGGCGCCTCCGCTGTTTAGATTCGCGCTCCGAGAGGCGTTCCCGTTCGCATTCCCTTTGGCATTGGGATTCGGGCGTTGAAGTTGAAATGTGCCCGATTGGAACGCGCTCGCTTGCTGAGGTTGGTCCTGTATGCATGAGTGATCAGCTCAAGTTTTACACGCGCAGCTGCTGATCGACAATGCAGATGAGAAACGAAAGAAAAACAAGGACAGAGCGCCGAGTAGGCACATAAGGGGATGCAAGGAAAGAACGCGCCGACAAAGAGAAGGAAAGCGGCGCGGGGGGGAGGCGAGACACGTACCCTACGCTCCTGCGTCGGCTTCAATATCGACGGCGGCGTCGGGGTGGGCTTCAGGATTGACATCGGCGTCGCGGCCGCCCTGTGTGCGTTCCCTGCCTGTGGAGTGGCGGTCGGGATGGACGGCGTCTTGGGGCGCGAGGGGAGGAGGAGGGGGTTTGGGTTTGAAATGGGGATGGAGAGCGGGCGAGGAGTTGCTGAGCTTGGGGGTGGTGCGCTCGAGGGCGCTGCAGTCGACGCTGAGAGGTTTGCGGGACTGGGGTTGCCGACCACAGACGCAGACGCAGACACAGGTGCGGACGCTTGCGTGCGCGGGCGGTGCGCCGTGCCGGCGCTGCTGGTGGACCTGGATACGGGCGCGGACACAGCCGCAAGCGCAGGCGTACACGGGCGGACCGACGGAGCTGTCGTATCGAGTTTGATGCGCTACGTTCCAGATACTGTCAATGCCTCTCTGCCTATGCTCACAGCACAAAAGGACGCACCTTCCGCGGGTCCCTATCCGCCTGCGCTTGCGTTGGGACGTGCAGGATGGGGCTCCGCTGCGGGTCTGGGCTCGAATCGCTGCTGCATGCCTGCTCTGGGCTCCGGCTGGGGCTCGACTCGTGCTCCTCGCGCGCTCCACTTTCCTCCGAGTCGTTCTTGCGCTGCAGGATTCCCGATAGGTCAACGAAAGAGCAAAGGTAGGACATGGAGAACCCACACACCTTCCTATCCGCATTAAAATGCACCCACCATCCCTTCGCGCGATCGTACTTCACCCGCAGCGCGGCGAGCTGCCCCTCCGCCTCTTGAAGCTGCACCTCCATCGCTGTCGTTTCCGCACGTGCCCGCTTAATGTCGTCAAGCGCGTGCTGCAAGCGCAGAGTCAGGCGTGCGATTTGGGCTTCACGCTCCACCGCGGCGAGCTGCAATTCGCGTAGTGCCGCGCGCGTCTCGTCCTCAATGCGTGCGGGGTGTGGGGTTTGTGAGTCGGGAACTTCGTTCTCCATCGACTCCGGTGTACAGTCGCTGGCGGGTGGAAAGTGGGAGGAGGACGGAGAGCAAGACGGGGAGCAAGATGGAGGGAGAAAGGAAAGTGAAAAATGATCTGCAGCGCCGTTCAATTTAAGTGGCCGCGCTTACTAGCCGCATTTGGACGCGATCGAGAGAGAAGGGCTCCCACGGTCACGGGGTCGTTAACGCGTGGTCATTGGTACGTTCGGGCGCGTCGTGTAATCGTGTATTATACATCAACACGTCTAGGCAAATTGTGCGTTGATGAGGACTAAAGTGGGCCGACTATGGGGAGATCGTACGTGTGTCTGCCCGGATTTGGGTTAACTGTGCTCACCACGGGAGCCTAATATAGGTTCGCTGTGGGTTGATGGGCGTATCATGGGTTCCCCATGGGTGCTCATAGGTGCTCATAGGTGCCCATGGGTGATGGGTTGACTCATATGTGTGCCCATCCCCTGCGGCAGTTGGGTTCACACCGCCGAAATTCCAGAATTCAATCCTCGCTTTTCTTCAGGCTACACACGAGATTCAGCCCCTGTGTCTCGATCTCGATTCAATTTCTTCTTTCGTTCAGACCCTAGGCTTGAGCTCTCTCCTCATCGGCTCGCCATTTGGATCCCAGTGTGGGGATCAGTACGGGCTGATGGACGTGCAATGTGTGAGGCTAAACATGGCTGCGGGCGTACCATGAGGGCCCATGGGTGCCCATGGTCGATGTGAAATCTTTTACTTACGCTCGAATCGCGATATCACTTCAGGATAAATCTATTTGGCAACCCCCCGTTGCCAGCCGCAACCCGGTTGCAGCTATGTGGCAACCCCACGATTTCGTAAGACAAGTTCTGATGGCACTTGATGGGACTGATGGCGGGATGAGGGCGGAATGTGTTCGAGGTGCTCCTGTTACTACAAATGGCCAATAATATAGCTGGAAAAAAATTGAGAGATATGTGGACAGTTCCAGAAGGCAGCTCATTTTTTTTCTGCCCAATTTTCCAAGGAAAATTGAGCAAAATTGTGGGTTGAACACCCCAAAGTGCGAAGAAAGTCTTCAAAATGTCACGAAAAAATCAAGAAAAAATGTCAGGGCCTCGGAATACTTCTGGGGTACGTTTGAACATCGTGCGCCCCCTAATCACTGTGTTATTTCGCCGTGAATTCAGCAGGACGCCCATTCAACGCCTTGGGTTGGTTTTATCTTATCAGGCACGTGGGGGTTGCCAAATAACCGATCACTATTTGGCAACGGGTGCTGCCGGTGTGGGGGTTGCCAAATAGATTCATCCATCACTTCAGGTCCCTCCAGATTGGCTCCGAGATCAAACTACGATTGCTGACGCTTCCTCATTTACGTTTCCAAAACCTACAGATTGCATCCGAGATCGAATCGCGATTGCTTACACCTTTCAAGTTACACTGCCGCAAAATCATGTTCCGCTTGTTCAACTTACCCGAGACCAAGATCCACCAAGATCCGCCCAGATCCTTGCCCAGATCAAACCATTTGATCATCTCATGTAGCCGACGATAAATAGACGACCCATCGTACCTCCCGTTGCGCTGCCTTGACGAAATACATCTACTCTACTCTCAAGACATCAAATCTGCATGATTTCCTCCGAGTTCCACCTAGAATTTCGAGCCGTGCATGGTTGCACTGGAAATTTCGGACGGAGTTCAAATTGAGCTTGTACATGTTATGTATTATGGGAGAGTACGGAGGGTCGATAGTCGGCATAGCCTGATTTCATGTTAAACCGATAGGTCAAATTCAACTGCAGGTACGGCTAGCTTCGTCCCTTTCCCTAAGCGAAGTAGATCAGGGCATCCATAATTAGTATCACGCGCTCGCAGATCTTACCACTGTGATTGCGTCCGAGATCATCGATCAAACGGTTTGATTCAAACCATGGTTGAAATTATTACCCACACATGGTTGAAACCTCTTACGACAGCTTACGACGGACCCGATCGCGACAGCTTGTTCAGTTTAGTCGAGACCAAGATCTCATAGCCGAGACCAAGATTCCGTAGCCGAGACCCAGATCCAATAGCCGAGAAGATCCAATAGCCGGACCACGAATCTTAAATATATGCTCCTCCTCCTCCATGGGGAAGTATCCCCGATCGCGCGCCTCATCCCAGTGCGGTCCTACCATGTGCCGGTCGATTTGATCTGGGCATAAGGCGGCGGCCTTCGTTATCGGGTAGTGAAAAGAATAGCGCTGCTTCCGTGCCGCGGGTGACTTCGTTGCGTGATCGTAGTTGATTGTACACTGTTTAAATTGCAAGTGGGCCCTGGGATTTGATAAACTCAGAATCACTTGAGAATGTGTACCGTTTCGCTGTTACGTCCCTCCGAAAGAAAATGGTTAACCTGGTCGAGACCAAGATTAACCAAGATGATTTTAGCCGGCAATAATATTTATAGTGCGCGTACAGGCTGCTGGGTGCACTCCTCGGGCTGGTATTCATATGGGATTTTCGTCCATAATCCCAAGTTTGAAAAGCCGGCCGAGCTTCATAGCCAGATTTAGAGGAATTTGAGAAATAAAAATGGTTGCTCGATGCGGTTCATAATGCGGACGCGGGGAGTCGAACCCCGTTCAACTTCTGCGACAAGCTACTGTGGTTAGTGAATGCAACGGTCTGTATATCCAGGCAGTTGGAAGCCTTCCAGACATAATATTAAATTGCCGTGTCGGCATTAACAAAAGCCTCACTACACGCTACTGTGGATCGGCGGCCGCGGGTCGAACCTTGTCTAACTGCTTTTAACAGCCGAAAGGCATTCCCAGCTGATGCAGTGGTGCGCCGTGCACTACGCATTTATAAACTCCCGTTGGTGTGGCGGCCCGGGAGGGCACCCAAAGTGACTGAGATGAATTGACCTAAATCCACCAGATGTTGTCAGGTAAAAGCCATGGCTGAACACTGACTCGGAAGTAGTCTCTCATAGACAGACGCTACAAACAGAAGAAGCTCATACCTCGCTTGTTTAGATATCCTTGGTCAGTTTCGTGCCAACCGGAACGG